TCTTTAGATAAGCGAGCGCATAAAGTTATTGGCTTATACGAGAAATATGTTGATGGTATAGGTTTTGTGAATGAAGCTTCAAGAAATGAATATTACTGTCCAACGTGTAAATTACATGAAGATCTTTCATAAAGAGAGCTTCCTCACACTATTGATTAGGATGCCAGAAACTGATGCGTCGACTAAATCTTAAATCTTTATTTAAACATGCTCATCTCCATGTATATTTTATCAAGAACAATAATATTAATATAATCACAATTTTTTCCTTATTTATTATATAATCTCAGTGTCAAATATTTTTCTTCTCAAAAAAAGTAAATATTCTTTATTGAAAGAATCGTGTGTTTATCTAGTTTCAACCAGTTAAATATCCAATCCTATGAACACGACATTCATATTATTTGAATTCTTTCGATATGTCTCACACTTTTTATATTTACTATTTGATGATCAAAAATGATTCCTAATTATATTATCTTCTTGAGGGTTTGGGTGCGGATATGATCTTTCTTAAAGATACACTCACTCACTCACTCCCTCGAATTGTTTCAGTTGCATCAAATATATTTTATAAATATATACAGAAATGCTATGGGATGAAGAATATCTTTGATTAGAAATTCTTATCAATACGATATTTACACATTTATTCTTTTAACATATGCGATAAAAATTAAGAAAATTGATTTGAATCGAATATGATAGAAGTCTGCTGTTACTTTTATTTGTTGAAGTTGAGTTGTCTATTGGTTATGATGTAGATTCCATGAAATTAATAACTGAATAGATTTAAGATAGTTTTTCTTCTAAGAAAAACCAAATTGGAGATTTTATTTATGATATTGTAATATAAATCAATTTGAATTTTTATTAAATGTATACGTATTCTTTATTTATTTTTAAAATGAACAAATGAATTAACAAGAATACGTTAAATAATAAGAAAAGAAAAGTTTGTTGATAATTAAAGGATTATTTGATTTTTTTTCTGACATAGTAAAAACGAAAATCATATGATGAATAAAAGCTCTTTTCGTAGTTCGCTGTATTCGAAACATAATTGAACATTTGATAATAAAGCTATAGCAATTTCTGTAGCAGTAGCTGGTAGTGTAAGAATGACGAGTTGAAGAAGTTGTTCAACTACAGAACCAGATGCTCAGAGTAGAATTTTTTCTTCATGTAAATTGATTAAAATAAAGTGAACAATTAAAAAATGAAAATGTTGCTTTTCTATATTATAGTTTATGTTTTTCTTACTTTAATTGATTGAAAGTGAAATAGATATATTAAAATTCAATTTTGTATGTTGAACAAGTATTTGACCGGCTGATAATGTTGATTTCTTCAATTAATGTTATAATACATTTTTTATCAGATAAATCCAAATAAAGTATATAATCAATATTAGTAAAATCAGCAATTACTGACTAACATGAAAAGAAAAGAGATTATTCAGTTATCAGTGTATTTATAAATTTAGATATTTACTTAATTGTATAATGAAATGTTTGAATTGATTGTAGTAGTTAAAATTGGCATACTATTGAATATTTTTCGACGTATTTGTTTAATATAATATGTTTGTTCAATTACTAATACATTTGAACCTAGATCAGTTGCAACGAAAAAACAAGTACCACTTTAATCGCTGATGAGAATAAAATGTATTTGTATGTAAAATTTCTTGTTTTCGTAAGTGTTCAGATGGACGAATATCGATTACAAATATGTGAATGCATCTCAAATATATAAGACATCATTCGCTGATGTATCAAATGAAAATCCAGGGTTTACGACTTGAAAATTCGCCTACATTTGCGTTTTAAGCGTTGTGAAACCTAATATGAAATTTTGACATTAATCATTTAGATTTTATTCCGTTATCATATATTGTTATTGAAATTATTATCAACCAGAACAATACAAAACTTACCATTGAATTCTTTGGTTTTTCTCCAGAGTTTTACACCTGTATGGTTTTTTGTTGAGTTTGTTAATACAAGACCTAAAGGTGATGTTAAGATACCAGTTAATGAACTAAATATCCATCCATCGAGTTGACGAGTATTTTCCGAGTGCATTGTAAACTTGATATAATATTTCTTCGTTTTATTTTCTTGAGAAATATTAGTAATGTAACCAGTAATTGATTCATTGAATAACATTGAATTTGTCATTATTTTAGCTGGATTATAGAAAACTTATATATAAATGAAGTAATATTAAAAGAATGCAATAATAGTCAAGAAAAACAGCATACTTTTTATTTGTTATATTATCAAGTAGTATATATTCACGTTCAAAATAAGAGATGCATGTTGATTTAGAATCGATAATGAGAGAATTAATTAAATAAAATAAGATTCATTAAAGAAAAGTTCAACATAGAATAGAAATGGCGCGAATATTAAATAGCAATGAGATATATTCTTTTTCAATTTAATTTATAGAATATTAGTTGTTTAAAATGAATAGATTAATATATGAAATTAATAATATTTTGAATAAAATAAAAGCTCTTGTTTTGATAGAAATAAGTTGCTATGGGCAGATGAATAATTGAATTTATTGTATAATTAATATTGAAAATTAATATTAAACAATAATTTACATAAATGACAAGAAGTATAGAACAAAACAATATGAAAAAAGATTAAAAGATAGTTGGAACGGTTGAACTCATTAACGTAAAAAGTTGTTGATAAGATACAGATTCAATCAATAAAAAAGAATAACAAATAAAATACATCACATGCAAATTATAGTATTAAAAATAGGAAAAGATACTTGTCTCGATTTTCTTGAATTTGACCGAAAGAAGTAAATGGTATAGATCCATCTAATATATTTATACTTTCATAGTGTGGTATAAGTGCATTTGCAAGTTATACAATATTTAATTAATTATATAAAATATCTGATTCAGGGATTACTGATGGACGTTTATTATATTCATAAATAATTATATTTTTTTTGAGAACTCTTGCCATTGCCCCAATTTCTATATGATCAGCATTGTGTTTGTTTCAATTCATTTTAGAGATATATCCCAGGACGATGGTTTCTGAAGCAGGATTCCATGGGTTTCCGGCAAAATCCTTGAGGAAACTCACCATTTCTGGGAGGGTTCCGCCCGAAAAATGCCAAGAATCCGATGGAGAAGTGAAGTAATCGTATCCGGCTGCCGGTTTTGACATGTTCGTGTCGGTTCCGACCTAAACTAGATAAATCCGGCCACCGGATCCATTCAACGGGAATACTGCTTCCATGAAATCTCCGGATTATTCGACCTAGGTAATCATCAACACTACTGTATGAGTAAGCAACAAACGACTCATAAACGGATATATTTTACTAATATAATTCACGTCAGCAGATCTTAATTGGCAATAGTTTTCGTGTTCAATATTCAACTGATAACATATAGTTCGAAAAACAAGAATTATCATCACCATGATTGTTAACTCTACAAAAGTTGATATTGTTTAATTGTTTATCAAATTTATCGAAATATATTTCAATGTATGAAAATGAAACTTCGGATACTGTTCCTTTACTGATCTGAAGAAAATTCCATTCTTTTTTATTTAAATAATAATTTGTTTTTTGTAGATCATTTTCATTTACATTAGTATTATCACAATCAGATAGCAGTTCCGAAATAAATTCTTGTTTTATTTTCTTATTGTCATTTTCTTCATTTTCAATAGACTTTTGTTTCTTTGAATTCGTTTACATTGTTGTAAATTATATGACACTTGAGAAAGAATAAATCAAAAAAAATTACAATGATTTTTATTTATCAAAAAATAAATAAAATCATATATGAATTGTTCTCAAACAAGATATATTTTAATTAATATAAAGTATTCATTGATAAATTAAAAAATCGAAGTATTTCTTTCACTATTTTGAAGCTTCGATAATAGT